CACTATGTATTTTATCACGTAAACGTTGTTGTGGTTGTTTTTTCTTTGTTGTTTCAGTGTGGGAAATATTTTCCAAATGTTCAGTTGGTTATAGTGTTGTGTCTGGAGGGGTATTCTATCTAGTCGACTTAGACGATTCAACAATCCAGTATCCCTCCGTCATAGCATTCAACGATAATATCACTAACGAGTTGACTAACAGTCACACCACTCACTCACTCACTCACTATCCCTACTGACAGTTCTACAAACTAGTCGAAATATAAACATTATATCTTTTTCTAGGCATCCCAGATAAGAATAAGGTCGAAACAACAAAAAGAAGAGTAGACGAAATGCAAAAGTTAACAAATCATAAAAGTACAAACTGAGTTATGTTGCAGAGTCTTATCTTCCTCTGGTAGAATATTGGACACTCTATTTTTCTTAAAAACCACTAGAATACGAATATAGGAACAATCAAAAGAAAACCACAACGAAACTTAATATAAGATAGTCAGTCAAAACTAAACTTGGTTTCAATCTTTTTTTTCCATTACTTTGAGCGTTTCCAGTAGAACATATAGCTCCAAGGTCTAAGCTCTGAAAAGTTCCTATAGCAGGGGTGTTATTTTTACAAGATGGGGCTGCTAGCTTCAGACCTAACCTTCCGTCGTCTCTGGGCTTAATTACTACCGGTTAGACGTCTTTTAGGAGTACACCAGCTGGAATTCAAACCTGGACTACGTGTATGGCTAGCGAGTGTTCTATCTATCCTTGAACCACTGATGCACACGAATGTAGTTAACGTGCAATAATGTATTCAGAAGAGTTAAGAAATCACTCACCATTCTATCCATCTTATCTTGTTATCTAATTCAGAAGAAATTATCATTACTTCAGATATTTTCACATAGAGCATATACCGTTGTACGACAACGACACATGTCAAGTGATCCACAACGGAAAACACACCGAGGTGTTTGGAGTAAACACAGGAGTCAGACAAGGGTGCTTATTATCACCAATGATATTTCTCATTGTGGTGGACTGAATTATGTGTCAGACAGTTGCATACAAGAAGACAGGGATATCCTGGACCAACGTGAAGAACCTGGATTCCGCCCGTGGATGATTTATGTTTGATGTCATACAAAATAGAAGACTTACAAACGAAAACCGACTGACAAACTGGTCGAAGAAGCAGACAGTGAACACAGGACTCCAGGTGAACATAGACAAGACGGAGGTGATGAAAATAACCAACCAACAACAACATCAACAACAGCAGGAACATCCAGCGCCAATCACCATCAACGGGAGGGATTTGAAAGAGGTTACTTCATTCACCTATCCAGCTAGGGAGCATTGTCTCAACTGCAGGAAATCGGAACGGACGAGGATGTCAAATCGAACGAGAATCGGGAAGGCGAGAGAGAAACACATTCATCAACCTGAAACCAATCTGGAAATCTCCGACACTCAGCCAGCATCAACAACAAAATTCGATCGGGTTTTCAATACAAACAGTGTCAATTCAGTCAGCTCTTCTGTACGGATCAGAAACTTGGCGCGCGGGTCACAATGAACCTGGTCAGATATCGCTACCGCAATATCTACAAACGGTGTCGGGTCATCACGAAATCTACACTTTGAAATTATCTTAATTCCTGAAAAACTCCATATGCTAAAGATAATGTCAATGTAAAATAAAACTAATTTGAGTCAACTATTACAGTTTGAATTTTTTAGTTTCTATTAAATTTTGTTTTTCAATGGTCGCACTCGTTGCCCTCACAATATTGTTGATAGCAGTTGTTATTTATTGTTATTATTCCCTATATTTTCATGTGGGACATAAAACTTCAGTAGGACATCTTCATTTTACCGTGTTCTTTGTAGAGTTCTTTTTAGGCTAGCCATACGATAGGTAATAAACTTTCATCTCTATGTTGCCGTCTGCATTACACTCAGCTCGTCATTTTTCCTAGACGGGTTTCACTCTACAGCCTATTATCGTGTGATTCCACTCAACAGTCTCCTTAACGTGTATCCATCCTATCTGTCTCTATTTACCTTCGTATGTGTCTTAGGCGATATGTTCTTGGTTGGTTCGGTGCTATATACCAGGGTTCCTTACCGGTGATTCTTTCTGGTAGGTCATCTGATCTTTACTATCGAGCAAAAGCAGCTGTTGATAGCAGTTTGCAGCAGTAGCTTGTTGCAAATGATTTCAGTGATGCCAGCGCTCTCCAAAACAATGACATATATATATATATATATATATATATATATATATATATATATATATATATATATATATATACATATATATATATGTATATATATATATATGGAAGCATTCGTTGACTTTTAATATATTTTTAGAGTTTTTAATATATTTGTACGTTGAAGTTTCTGCAGCGATTTGCTTAAGTTAGAGTTGCTAGCACCACGCCCCAACCCTTCCTCTTTATCGGGGCTTGGCACCGGCTAGAAAACTAGCGAGCCAGTAATCTAGGCGTTTCGAGTAAACACAGGAGTCAGACAAGGGTGCTTATTATCACCAATGATATTCCTAATTGTGGTGGACTGGATTATGAGTCAGACAGTTGCATACAAGAAGACAGGGATATCCTGGAACAACGTGAAGAACCTAGAAGACCTGGATTTCAAGCGTGGATGATGTTTGATGTCACACAAAGCCGAAGACTTACAAGCGAAAACCGACAAACTGGGCGAAGAAGCAGCCGGAGAAGGCAGGACTCCAGGTGAACATAGACAAGACGGAGGTGATGAAAATAACCAACTAACAATAACAACAGCAGAAACATCCAGCGCCAATCACCATCAACGGGAGGGATTTGAAAGAGGTTACTTCATTCACCTATCCAGCTAGGGAACATTGTCTCAACTACAGGAAGTCGAAACGGACGAGGATGTCAAATCGAGCGAGAATCGGGAAGGCGAGTGAGAAACACATTCATCAACCTGAAACCAATCTGGAAATCTCCGACACTCAGCCAGCATCAACAACAAAATTCGATCGGGTTTTCAATACAAACAGTGTCAATTCAGTCAGCTCTTCTGTACGGATCAGAAACTTGGCGGGCAGGTCACAATGAATATTTCCAACATCCTGTTGCAGACCTTTATCAACAACTAGCTGTCTTCGCTCTATACTGAAGACCAATCAGATGGTGGGGCCGGAAAGAATCACCAACTATTGGAAACTATAGGAACAAACAAAACAAGAAGCAATCGCCCAAGAAATATGCAGGAGAAAGTGGAGATGGATGGATTGGACACTCGCTGAGGAGGCTGCGGGGTGACATCGCGGGCGCGTCAGGCCATTGCTCGAGTGGAACTAGGCCGAAAGGGAAGCGGCGACTGGGTCGTCGGTGCAAGGGTAACATGGAGGAGATCGTGTGAAGAGGAGTTCAAATAATATGGACTAAGATGGATGCAGGTGAAAAGTACAGCAAGAGGAAGACAGAAGTGGCAAGTGGAGACGTGCAGTTGAAGTCCTATGTTCCACTAGGAACCCAAGGGAACAATAATAATAATAATTCGTTGACTTAAAGGTTATTAGTGTTAAAAGTGCAAATATTATTTCTTATGCTGTGAGCGCAGTAGAAATTTCCACACTGATTTCAAAATGTTAATAAAAACGCATGTCTTGCTTTTCCAATGCTACCTGCTTCCGACACCGTCATCTGTAATGACCACCTATAGTTGAAACGATGATGATGCCATATTGTATTTCTCGGATTAATAGACATTATACTATAGATATATTACACTACTACTGGTTCCGTGGTAGTCGTAGTAGTGTTAACAGTGTAGCGTCGTCAGAATATAAGGGAAATGGTAACAAACGTTTATTAAGGAAAAACTCATCATAATATTATACACTTTTAGCCACATTAAAGTTCGGCTAGGTCAGTGGACAATAGATTGTTCCCATTGGCTTGTGGTTGGTCCAAGGTTAAACAAAGAGACGAGAAGTTGTCCAATCGGATTATTTCATGTTTACAATGTTAACCAGATACAGATTCAAGGAATAAATACTTCTACCTCTGCTATCGTTGACTTGAAATGTTGATTTCAATTTTTAGTCACTTCCTATCAGCCTGCATCTATATACTACTGATAAATCTCATCTGCCATGGCGATGAAATCTCTTACAGCCAAATGTCTAACAAATGGTAATGCTTAAATAAATGTTAGTCTTTCTCTCTTTCACATGATATGCATAGATGTGCAGGTATTTGCACTCAGACATACACAACATGATGCCTTCTAAGATGGTATTATCTTGTGAAATATGTATCACCTTTCATATATTATGATTATTGGAATCCTTACTTCATTAGAATGCATTCTGATCATATCACGTGGTATATGTATATATATTATATATGTATAATAGAACGTCATGTGATTGGCTAGTAGTGATGTATATTCCTTCAATTCAAACAAAATTCACCACCCTTCACTATTGAAATTGTGTTAATATTTTCAAATTTAATTCGAATAAAAATGAAATCTGTTTCTTTATTTTCTTTCTGCAATATTTCTTTTTTTCAGTGTGTTAAAACTATGTGAGAATCTCTATGTACTGTAATTGGCATGTTTACAATCAAAGATACAGTCGCACACCATCACACTAATATACACACACATATAACACAAATACTACACATCAGCACACAGCAGTATACCACCATACCATTTATACAACATACGTAGATTTAAAGTTTGGTGAGTAGAAAAAGAAGTGAATTATTATTATTGTTAATTATTGTTTTAAATTTGGAAAGTGTTCAATGCACCTCTGTGATTGGTCAATTTAAATATGTTGCCAAGTATTTAAACAAAATGATATACTGTATGTATCATTTTTAAATTTTTACATCGGAAGAAAAAATAAATAAAATAAATACACACTGAGAAAAAGAAGAAGAGAAGAGAAAAACCCCACATACAAGAGTGTTATAAAGAAGAAAAAAAGAAGTTGAATGATGACAAGCAGTGGTTGTCGAAGTCGAAGTAATAGTACTACTACTGGAGGAGGAGTAGGAAGTCCTGGTGGTGTCGGTGTTGTTGTTTGTGACACAGGAAACAACTACAACAACAACACCAATAGTTCATCAACATTTACAAATAATATGAAACAACACCAACAACAAACAATGAAAAGACCAACAAGTTCAATCAGTTTACTGGCTGATCAGCTAAAGCTATCCAGTTTAAACGAACAAGATCCTTGCAGTACAACAATGCGAATGATGTCGATGATGACTACAAAACCGGTTGGACAGTATGACGTATCTTGTGATTGTCCAGAAACAATTAATGAAGTAAGAATTGCTTATTCAATGCCTACACATTCTCATATCGGTATACATTCATCAAAACGAAACAATAATGATAATAATCATACTACGATTGGTAATTCAGATTGGACAAGGAGTGCTGCTAGTGGTAGTGGCAGTACTTCAAAGGATTATAATCATCACCATCATTCACGTACTGTACACTTTCGGGATATATTTACACCGAGTTCTAGTGTTTGTTCTTCTCTACAATCGACAGTATCAGAATTTGACGATGGAGGAAATGAAATGACTGTAAGTTGTGTTACACTTGTCTGTTGTTGTTTTGCTTTTTCAAATTTGCATTTCATCCTTTGAAGAGATATTCGATATTCACTTGTCACATTGATGAGAATATTCACGGGGTTAAAAATTTATCATTTCTACTCAGACTACTAATGTGGCGTGTACTACTGACACAATTTATCAGTAGTATGTATGGAGAGAAAGAGGGGGAATATGAATTCCCTCAAAGTTGAAAATCCGCCTTACCGACGAGTACCAGCAAGCATGAAACCTGTGATCAAAACTTCCTGTCAACTGTTCTTCAACCATTTATAACACCAATTCAGAGTACACATGGGGATGGTCAGTCACTAAGCATGAAGAGGCCACATGGCAAACTTGACCCATAGAATTCAATCTTCATCAACACCGAAGACTAGAATCCTTATCGGCTAATCATTTTAGAGGTAATAGCTCAGTTTGTTTGGTTTTTCTTCCAGGTATTGACAAAAGTAAGAACTGAGAAGTGACTCTTCTACTGTTGTTACCAACAGCATTCATTAACGATTCGCTCTAAAATAATGACATTATATGTTTGAGGATGTGGTTTGTTAGAATCCATGGAGCGATCTAGTCTGAGATGAAAATTCTTTCTTCCTCTTTTTTTTCTTTTCTATTGACTTATCCTTTGAACACATACATAAGCCATTCACTTTACTTTTTTTTCCACAAAAAAGTCCCTCTTCCCTTACCCTCTTGTTTAACTTGAAAGTATTGAATTACCGATTCTGTTTCTTCTAGCCACCCCTGCCCCCAGTCCCTTTCATTTTTTTATTATGAATTCATTAAAGCCGCCATTTTTTGTTTTTGTTAAAATCAAATTAAGTTTGGATTAGTATTATGAGGATAACAAGCTTGCATTGACATGTATATATATATCAAGTTACAATGGGTTGTTATGTGCAACAGTGTCTCGTAGTCTTGAGCTTATCTCACTTACATACTGCTGCTACCCCTCGGATCATTACTTAGGAATGAGTAAATTTTATGGTTAACCGTTATTACTGTTATTATTCTACTAGGTGTCCAGTGGAACATAAGGTTCCAGCAGCACATTGTCATTTCACCCTGTTCTCGACTCTCTATTTCGGGTCGTATCCATTGCGCTGTTTACAGTTGTTTGTGGAAGTCTTCCTTTTTTCCGCTAGGTCTGCGTTGTTTCTTGCGATTTGCATATCAAGGGGGGGTAATTGTTGCTTTTCTACCTTTCGAGTTGATTCTTTCTGTCTTGATGTTGCACGCGGAGGTTGGTTTCCCACTATTTCATAAGAGCCGTCGGCTCTATAGATGACATCATGAGATAGCCACCGTCTCCCAGTGCGGTCCTGGTTGTGTCGCATAAATGACCTGAGTGGATTATTGATTCTCCAGTTAACTTCCTTTCTTTGCATTGTCACAGGTGCCTAGCACTTCTACACCGTATCTTGTCATTTCTTTTACAATCTGAGCAGTTTTCCTAGCCAGCTTCAGAAATTATTATTATTATTGTTTGACCCAGTACTGGTTGAATAACTTCCAAATGCTTTCGTCTTCATCTATGTTATTAGGTAATTAGCATTTCACTGAAGGCGTTTTACTGAAACTTGTCAAATCTTTCGAGACTTATTTTATTTGCAACTAACTGGTTTCTCTTCATGTCAGCCGTAATATTTATGCAATCACATTAATCTTTGTGATGCTTTATTAAACTACTATCTTCATGCTTAATTTTTGCTCAGTAGGATATATCCTTTTAAAGGAAAGAGTACGCGTCCTGGATGTGGTGATTGTTTTCTCTGACTTGGGTGGGGTGATTTAATTGTGAAGCTTTCATTGTTCCCCTTCCCCTTTTAGACTTCTTCAGTGCAAGCTTCGACTCCAAATCGAAGAACACGGCATATATACTTTTTTGATATCGATGCATGTAAACAACGAAGGACATTAATTCGATCGCGTACATGTAGAACACCTTAAACAGTGCACACCGAAAATACCAGGGCATTCCTAGAGACCCTGGTACTTCAGATGAATCAGCAATTAACAGTCTTATCGTTATAGAACGAGTTATGTGATACAATAAAGTCGAATTCGAAGTCAATAAAAACGATCAATACTGTTACAAATTAACAACAACTTATCACGACAATGGTTACCGTCAAGAGATACAATTATCATGTCATACATTGACAGCAAATTCAAATAAGTTTCACGTCATTGTCTCTGTCTGTCTGTCTGTCTGGAGTTGCAAAGAGAGAGAGAGAGAGAGGCCTTGAAATAAAGACATTGTACACATTTTACACTGCATTAGGATGGAAAAATTTATTTGTTAAACGCAAAGTCACAATTTATCCATGCATTGACACAATAACCTCACTGGGACGGTTATTCGATTCGTTTATTTTTATGGCTTAAATTCCTGAGGTTTTTTTTTCCACTTTTATATATGATATACTCTATCATTTCTGTCTGGTAAACGTTGTTGTCTTGATGATATAAGATGGTTGGAGGCAATCGGCCACAGGAAGCCTTGGACCATATAGTTTTCGTGCCAGTTTAGCACTAACTAGTCAACAAGGCGTATCTGCAACCTTATAGGAACACTCATGTCCCTTCTGAGGTTCGAACCCGCGTCACCCAGTGAGCACTGCAGTCAGAGATGTTACCACTGAGCTATTCGGGCTTGTGCATCGTGATGGCGAGCTACCTAGAATAATGGCCACATTACAAACCTGACTGATAGAATTCAGTCTGCACCAATGAGAGGATTAGACACATCACACTAGTTATTAGTGTCAAATCAAAACGTTGTTGTCGTTGAATTATGGCTTTTGTATTAAAGTGTTGGTTTGTAGGGATTTGATTGGTTACAGGATTTCATCATGAACTGACATTAGTTAGAGAACCATCGGAAAACCTGGAAGTACTGGGCAGCTGTTTCGCCCTAGTTTGAGACTCTTCATCAGTACGCACCCACCGATTCGGGTTCGAACCCAGGACCTTCCGGTTACAAGGCGAGCTCGTATACAATTAAGCCACTGGAACACGATCCAATGGCCCATGAATTCTAACTTCTGCCAATTCACGACATAGCGCAACCGCTAGCCAATGTCTTCGGGGAGTATTTGTCCTCACACCCGACCCTCTGCACCCTACTGGTCACGACTTCCCCCTGGAACCCAGGTAACTACCTACCTGAATAAGACCAGTCACCAGTGAGCATCTCATCGGTACTTAAGTGTTGGTTTTTAGGGATTTGGTTGGTTGGTCACGGGATTTCATCATGAGCTGACATTAGTTAGAGAACCATTGGAGGTGGGTGCGTATTGCTGAAGAGTCCCAAACTAGGACGAAACAGCTGTCCAGTACTCCCAGGTTTTCCAATGGTTCTCTAACTAATGTCAGCTTATGACTTTTGTGTCTACCAAATTTTGGGGGTGTTATTTTCAAGTGATCAGGTTGGTTATAGTGTCGTGTCGTGTTTTGGAGTCACATTCTAGTCAAATTAGACGATTTCACAGCTTCACTAACACTGTGTCATGAATCACACTGCAAAATCTTTTTCTTCACTGTTTTTCGATAAAAAAAATGATCTGTTTTATGCATGAGTTATCAAATTTTAATTATCAATCTGTATGTATTTTATTGAGTTTAAAGGTAAAATAATAGCAATAATATAATTGTCTTTGAATGAGGTTATTAAAAAGAACTACTGCGATCGGTCGTATTGTTATTGTTTTTTTGTTGTCGACATCAGTTTAATACATTTGTGTGTGTACACACACCCATCTCTCTCTGTTTGTCTTTTGAGAAACTTATACTATCAACGACATGGTTATCGTTATTATTATTATTTGAAATACAAACAATTTGTTTAAAACATCGGTAGATAAACAAATAGCAGTGGAGTGAACGAGTAGACGAACAGTAGGTGGAGACAGTATTAAGTAGTAGATAAAGTTCCCTTGGATTTAATTTTAGTTATTATTATTATTGTAAACTTTGAAGAATAAAAAGTTTGCGAATTTAAACCGCAGAGTTATCATTAGCTCTATTATTATTATTTTTTTCAGAATTGGATCAAATTCATTGTTAATAGAGTGAGGGGGAGAGAGAGAGAGAAAAAGAGAGTGATTATTGATTATTGGGATAGCCTTTTACCTGGATGATTTCTAAGTTTACATCAGTGTACATATGCTTGTGTGTGTTTGAGTGCGTGTGTGTGTGTGTGTGTGTAGTTGGGTGATTAGTTAGTGAGATGATGAAAATAAGAGAGAGTTGATGACTTCTCTCTTAGCAGCTATTTATCTTTTTCTATGACAAGAACCAATCGCCCAACAAATATGCAGGAGAAAGTGGAGATGGATGGATTGGACACTCGCTGAGGAGGATGCGAGGTGACATCGCGGGCGCATCAGGCCAAAGCTCGAGTGGAACCAGGCCGAAAGGGAAGCGGCGAGTGGGATGTCAGTGCAAGGGTGACATGAAGGAGATCGTCTGAAGAGGAATTGAAACAGTATGGACTAACATTGATGCAGGTGAAAAGTACAGCAGGAGGAAGACAGAAGTGGCAAGTGGAGACGTGCAGTTGAAGTCCTATGTTCCACTAGGAACCCAAGGAAACAATAATAATAATATGACAAAGAACGGAATAGACTTCTATATTCTCTTAGAAGAATGTACATTATAAACACTAATACATGGAATTATTGTAAAAGTAGGATTTAAGTACTGTATTATTATCTATTATTATTTTCTTGGGTTTCAAGTGAAACACACAGAGCTTCAGCAACCCATCTCCATTGCATGCTGTTCTCTACAGTCCTCATTAGGTGGGGCTACACGGTTGCGCCCCATAAGCTGTTATCTTCTTCTCACATGTGATCTCCTCGATGTCACACTCGGACCCATGCCCAGCTTGTTTCACTTGGGCTATGGCCTGGCACGTGATGTAACTTCACGGTCTTCCCAGCGCGTGTGCCCTATCCATCTCCATTTTCTTCAGAATATTTGTTGGGTAACAGGTGTTTGGTAGATAGATTCCTTTCCAGAGTTCCCTATTGTTTATTCTTCTGGGCTGATCATATGGTCTTCAGTATGGAATGAAGACAACTGTTGATAAACATCGGAAACTTTTTCGGTATGCTTTTTTGTGATGCACCAAGTCTCTGAACTATATTTAGAATCACTGATTTGACATTAGTGTTGAAAATCTGAATCTTTGTTCCTTATTCTGATTGGAGCAGATTTCCACACTGATTTCCCAATAATGAAGGCCTGTCTTGCTTTCCTGATCCTGACTTTGGATATCCTCATCGGTGGGTACTTACTGCCTGGCCTGAAGTTAGAACAACGCCTGACCTGATTGATTAAGTGAAAGAAGTAACCTCCTTCAACTGTGATATGATTTTGGGCCATATAAAAATATACTTGAGACTTCATCCAGTTATTAGTACTGTATCGCTGTCTGTCTGCCTGGACCCAACATAGAACTTGACACCGTGGTGCAGCAGTTCATGTATCACTGTATTAAATATATTAATAATACGTAGAACCTGAAATATTAATTTACATATTTATTCCTCAATTTGCAAGGGCCTTTAAACACTTAATTAGATTACAATGTTTGGGTTTCGGAGTGCGTCTGTGATTCGATGGTAAAATGTTTGCTAACCACGCGAGAGTTTCGGCTTCGATTTCCGGCTAACTCACTTCTAAACCTCGCTTAGTTTGCCTCAGTACTAGTAGTAGTAGTAGTAAGCCATGAAGACATGCAAGATTGAGCGTGAGATTAGCAACGCGATAACGTACAACATAAATTTCAGAGTTACAAACACTTGATGAAGCCATAAATCCCCCCCCGCATCGAAATAGAAGAAATAAAAAAACGTTGAGGGGTGAAATGATGAGATGTTTTTTGCCGACTGCTTTACAGATTGATTCTAGGCTAAATTTAAGTAGTATATGCTTCTCTTTGAGTGAATAGAGTTCTGTCGGATTTTCCTTCTTTTTGGTTCGAGTGTGTTAGGATTCTTGTGTAATCCTGATTTCTTAAGTTTATTTAATAACTTGAATTGGTGTAAATTCTGTGTGTTGATTTCATTGATTAGCCTATATGGGATCATGATAGTTTCAGTTTGATACTTTATAATTGAGAGTCAGGTTATTTTAAACATATATATATATATATATATATATATATATATATATGTTGTTAGGTGGTAAGGGGTAGTCGGTAGGAAGTCGTGGACCTTCGTTCCACTTTTGTTGACGCTTATTGGCAAAGTGTATCTTCAACACCTCGATGGAACTGTTATCTCCTCTCTGAGATTCGAACCTGCGTCACTTCGATGCCTCAGTCATATAGACCTCACCAATGAGCTATTCATGCTAAGTCAAATTGATCAACTGGAATTCAGGGCATGATGTTTATTAATGAGAGGAGTTTAATCCTTAGCTATTATTAGGTAGTGAAGCACAACTATCTTCTTTCTTTATCATTATAATTCAGATGGTATTTATTCATCATTTTTAAAGCTTTTGAAATAAGCTGTTACATCGGTGGCTTAATAGTCGTAGCCAATCGCACATAGATAGTCCGGATTTTTTGATTCGTGGCCGATGCACTCTTAATCCTCTCAATCTAGTCTGCTGACCAGCCTGAATAGAAGGCGTGAATGCATGAGCGTGAGGCTATACAACCCCATCCTTTAAAAAGGAACATCAACGCCACTGACACTTCAAAGCTCTGAAACTCTGTGTTTCACTTATAATGTAAAGCGATGAAAAGAAAGAAGACATAAGCTTTTGTTCAATATACACATTTAGATGAGATATTGTATTAAGGTGTTTAATATCAGAGTAAAGACAAATAATTTAAGTATCAGTTTTATTTCATCCTACTGTGTGACTGTTTCTCTTTCGGGTGTTATTTTTTGGCTAACGTTCCTTTTTATCATACTAGATAGGACAGCTATATAGTTGCGTTATGGAAACGAGTATAGTGTCTGATACTGTTTGGATTGACCTACAAAATCCTAAATTTAGTTTTTTTAGTTTTAATAATTGGTATTTGTTCATTTTAATGTAAGGTTGTATCTATCAATCTGTTGTATTTTCCTGAATATCGTTGAGTTACTTCATGCTGTAACGTTATTACTCTTGTTTTTCCTTCTAATTTTAGAATCCTGATCATAATTCCTGCTGTTTTCATGTCTGTAAGTTGCTTCTTATTTAAAATGCTGTAATATCAGTATAACTCTATAATGTAACTATATACAGTTGAATAGGTAACACTGATCGATAGTTACCGACGTCTACAAAACGGAACAACAACTCATTGGTGACTTGCTTGATTTTGTTTGCCATTAAGTAATACTCTATTCAGTTCTATCAATTAAGAAATGTTAGGATGAACAGACTTCTTTATTGTTGTTCGTGAAGTCATGATTTATGCATGTACTGAGATGGTGATCTGATTGATTGAACAGTTTTTGATTCGTTTATTTATGGCTTAATTTCTTGAGGTTTCGTAAAATATATGGTACCATATGTTTTGTCTAATAAATATTACTACGGTTATTGTTGTTGGTTGTTGTCGTTCCAGCAGTGGTTTTTCTCAATTTGAGTGTTTTGTGTCTGTCTCAGTGTGGGAGACAGTTTCAATTGGCCTGTTGCGTATAGTGTCGTATTCTTGGTGGCTCAGTCTAGTCTAGACGACCCCACAACCACAGCAATAGTCCGTCATAACACCTCTATTATATATTGTATTCGAATAGTTGAATCAAAGTCTACTGATCTCATAAATTCGGTTTCAGTGATTGATGTTGTGTTCTGTCTATCCTTTCTTCCTTGTATATCTGTGAGACATATTGGTCGAAAGTCAATAACATGAAGTGGCTAGGTTGTCGTCTTTGACCATTTGTTAAGTGGTTTCGTATGGTGAGTAATATTGGAGTCGGGCAAAGAGTATGTTAGGCGAGGAAATAAAGTCAGTCAACGAAGTTACAAAGCTAAATCGATTGAGATAGCTAGGGCATGTGTTACGCATGACAAGCCACTGCCTTCTTTATCATCGAGCAATGTTTTCATCAACCCACATATGGATTAGTTTGGAAAGGAGTTAGGTGTAATCAAATCAGCATATACCTTTGTGTACTTTATGGAGTGTGGCAGTAGTTGAAATGCTGTGCTTTTGTGTAAAGTAATTTTTATGTTGAAAGTCAGTCACTCATTGTGTTCAGTATTTTAGGGATGGTTTTCTGTAGTTGGTTTGTTCTGTCTGTTTCTTTGTAAACTCGAGGATGACAGTGAATCCATTGCAATAGATATGTGCAGCCCAATACAGATCGATAGGAAACAACCAAAACTTGGAAACAACATTTCAAATCAATGCCTGCAGAGGTAGAAGTGTTTATTTCTCAAATCTCGATTTAATTTACGCTGTGAACATGATGAAGTAACCTCACTGGAAAACTTGTTTAACCTTGGGCTAGTCTCCAACCAATCAGAACAATTCATTCTCCTCGTATCTAGCCGAACTTTAATGTGTTTTTCCCCCCAACAAAAAGTTCCGTCACCAAGTCTCTTATCTTCTCCCGTTACAAGATACTGTTCATCAGTACATATTTCTGTAGACGTATTGATAGAGATTTTCGATCTTCAAAATGAACGAGTAACTATTCATTTCTGTTTGACATTTTTATTGTTTGATTACTGACGATACTAATAAATAGAGGAAGACCATAAACGCTGCATGAAGGATAAATATTTTAACAGAAAGAGAATAAGTTATTTCTCGAGCTGCAATCAGTTTCAGAAATATAGAGGATGAAGTATTACTCAACAGTTGTTTCATCCTGCTTTGAAACTCTTCAGCAACGAGCTGTATTCTTGGAACCCATTTGAGATGGAATCCATGACCTTCATCTTTCTAGGCAAACTTTTTGAACATTCACCCACTAGAGCAGAACCCAATGGCCTATGAATTCTGACTTCGGCCTCGTAAACTGATGATCATGAGTTCGATCTCTGTACACACGGCTTAAGTGTCCTGAAGCTGACTGACTGACTGACTTGGTTTCACCATAGAACTTTGCACAGAAGTGTGCAGTAGTTCAACTTGAAACACTCCACGTACCACACAGAGGCAGAGAAGTGAGAGGGAAAAGTGGATTCAAAAGGGATTGTTAGAAGCAGAAAATTGAGGGAGAAACAGTAAGTACGATGGAGAAATCACGAAAAGTGAATGCATGTCAGCCATTGAGAATGATTTAGAGCCAAAACACCAATATTATCCAGCCAATTGGTACGTATCATCCCGATTTCCCCAACCAGGTAGTCTATACTGCCGTACGTGACTCAAACCAGCTGGTAAAGACTTCATAGATTGATTCTAGGTTTTGGTTTGACCCATCCCTAACTCTTTTCTAATTTAATCCTATATCACCTAACATTTGCTGGACGAAGAAGCCGGCGGTCCGCCGTGTCCAACAAGTGTCGTGTCCATCTCAATCGATATTACTTCACAACCTCTTCGATTCACTTATCCTCCATACCTAACACTAAGCCTGGTCTGAGTATTACTCACCATATAATACCACTTAACTTGAGAGATAGAACATATATACATACCTACAGTAGAAGACAACTAGTCTTTTTAAATCTTCGACTTCCAATGACTGTGCCTCACAACCATAAAGTGGAACGGAGCAAACTTCTGCACAGAACACACTTGATCTACAATGAAACAGCTGTTCTGTCCAACTTGGTTTTCAGTAGTTCTCTAACTGTTACTAATTCAGAAGACAATTGCAGCGAAGAAAATTTTCTTTTCGACGGAGTCATCATATAGGCTGTACATTCGTGTATTTATATCAAATGGATGGGAAAGTTCCAGAATAATTTCCGGTTAAGGGTCAAATTAATAAAAATTACAATTAGGAATTAGAATGCCATGATAAACAGGCGACGGATAAAACTCAAATAAAGTAGCATCATAATAACTAAGAAGATTGACATTGTGCAATTGGGGGGCTAGAAATGTAGAAATAACAAAATAGACAGGATGTTTGGATAAAAAAGACTAATGTGATGAATAATTGTTTATGCGATCAGGGATTAAATATTTAGAAATAGTAAAATGACAAAATAAACACGAAGTTCGGATATGAAAATATGGTAGTGTAAACAGGGATTAAGAAAAAATTAAAAATAACATGAATAAACAGGAAGTTTAGATAAGAAAGCCAATGGGATGGTCATTACTAAAAAATTGCCTGTTTATGATGGCCATGGCAGGGACACGGGTTGGACGTATTTCTTTTGGATACAAAGCTTGGGTTTGAGCTTTTGGATAGCTAGCGCCTCGGCTATGCCCAGATGTCTTAATTTTACTCCCTTTGATAGGCTTGATCGAATGTTGTATATTATTTTGAAGAATTTTCCCAACGGCGCTGAATGTCGTGAATTGACCAGATGTTCTGTCACTGAACTGTATACACGCTTTTGGTCTCCTTTTACTAACCAGGCTGGGTAGTGTTCACAAGCGCCAACGTACTCAGTTCCACAAGAGCAAGTAAATTGGTATATGCACGTTGAGGTGGCCCAATGCGACAGCTCGTCTTTCGCGTTCTGGCTGAACAGTTTCTTGTAGGAAAACGTCAGTCGTAGGCTCGCAGCGAAGTATGTTTTCCTCAGCGATTTGGAGAGGCGTTTACGAAGGATTTCTGCTTCAATATCATCTTTGAATTCTAGATCAAGCAGAAGTATTTTCTTTGGAACGAATTGGACTTGTTCGGAAGTCTTCTTAGATTTGAGATTCTTGTCTATGAACCTGGGCGGGAAACCGTTTTCCATCAGGGCTTTTCGGAGATTACGCAGTTCTTCCTCAATCACTTCCTCGCTGCATATCTTCCGAATCCTCGAGAAAAGAGCATATATCATGTCCCCATTTCTGCTTAGGGGCACGAAGCTTTGAAAGTTGATGAATTGTTCATTCCATGTAGGCTTTTTGTATATGGACCTTTTACTAATGCGTGATCTCTAAAGTAAAATCAAGCAAACCCTTGGAAGTCATCACATGTCATATCATATATAATTACACAGAAGTTAGTTATCTTTGTTTACAAAATTAGTTGTTATTAATAATTTGTTTTTGTAGAAAGTATTTCGCGCTAATTTATTGTCGTTTTTTTATAATTTCTAGTGTCTGCAAGTGCTCCAACTACAAATTATTCATTGAATTCAATGTCAAATTTATCAAAATGCAATGAAACAACTTCATGTCATTATAATGTTATCACTAACAGTAATAATAATAATAGTGCTAGTACAACTACTACTAATACTATGAATAATAGTATACCATCATCAAATTGTACATTCAATCTCTTCTCTTCATCATTTCCTTGTTCAAAGGATAAAATTGATAATATGAATATCATTTCACCAAATACACATATTGCCCATAATCATCCTCACCATCATCATCATCATCAACATTCTTCATGTACAGCGTCGAAAACAATGTTTTCTTCGCTGTCATCCTCATCGAATTGTTGTGGCTGTTGTTGTTATTGTTCGTGTAGTATTAGTAGTACTGGCGTCAGTGGAAGTAGTGGTATCGGTGGCGGCAGCGGAAGCAATAACAGCTTTACCTTTTGTCCAACTTCTTATTATTCTTGTTCATGTTATGTGTGTCGAATAAATAATCAATCACAGCATCCAGGAGTAGGAGCAGCAGCAGCAGGATCGTCAACTTTGGCCTCCTCATCACAGTATTGTCTGCCAGCAAAACGTGCTTGTCGATCGACTAGTTCAAGTTCAGATCTACCCTATTATACATCTTCATTATTATCGTCTTCTTCGTCTGTATGCGGTTATTACTCCTATCATCGGCAGTGTCATTTACCTCAACGTCATTGTCATCAATGCTGTCCAAAATCAATAATTAACAATAATAATAATGCCACAATGATTCGATCAATGCAGTCATATATTAAAAATCTTCCACGTCCAATCGCTGTACGATTAGATTCACAAACGATGATGGCGTATAATACAAAATCAAAAAGTTGTACAAATATGGATCATGTGAAATCATTAAATCCTATTAATAGTAATAGTAATAATAATAATGATGATGATGGTGATATTGATAGCAATAGTAGCACATTACGTAATAATAACAGTAATAATAATAATGGTGTTATTCTACGTCCTAAACCATCTGATTTTATGTCTTTCAATAAAACTGGCAATGGATCACGTCTTAGTTGGCATCATCCATTGTTTAGTTTCAGCTCTGTTAGCTCTCAAGTCAAGTATAATAACACCAATAGTAATAATAATGCCATCTCTAACCCCTCAACAGTACCAAATGATACTTCTTCTGGAGATAGTCAACTAATAATGTCTGCAGACAATTTACAACCACTTGTTCAAAAGTCAATTCGTTTACGGAATCACCATACTACTCGTGCCAATGAACAGCAACAGCAGCGTACAACATCAGTTCGTCCTCCAAATTATATTGAAATTAAAGAATTACAAGATTCTTCATTGTCAGCGCATGCATTACCTAGGTAATTTATTTTGGTATATTTTGTTCTTCGTGATTCTTTTACCTGATTTATCTGTTTAAAAACTTACTTTATTCAGAGAGGAAATTAAATTTTCCTTGTTACTTTTTATATTCAGAAAGTTGATCAATAAGTTGAAGGGAGGTTGTGATGTCTAAAGAATAAATAAATGTATGCTAGTCATGTAAACTGGATTAATTTTCATGTATTGGTTTTGTAGGGATTTTGTTTGATTGTATGGAGGATTTCATCATGAGCTGACATCAGCTAGAGAACTACTGGAAAACCTGGGAGTACTGGACAGCTGTTTCGTCTGATGCTCACTTGCGACTGGCCCCATTCAGGCAGTTCACCTGGAGTTCTAGTGGGAAGCTGTGACCAGTAGGATACAGCAGGTCGGTGATGAGGCAGCATATCATCGAAGAAGACATTGCTAAAAGGTCGCGCTGTGTCGTGAATTGGCAGAAGTTAGAATTCAAGAACCATTGGATCGGGTCCCAGTGGCTCAATGGTCTACAAGGTCGCTTGCCTTGTAACCAGAAGGTCCTGGGTTTGAACCCCTCTGGTGGGTGCGTACTGCTGAGGAGTCCCAAACTAGGATGAAACAGCTGTCCAGTACTCCTAGATTTTCCAGTGGTTCTCTAACTGATGTCAGCTCATGATGAAATCCTCCATAAACTGGATTAATCTATAGGCTTTGATGTGAAATAGAAATTAAAAGTTCGTTTTATAAGGAAAAACAACTACACAGAATAACCAAGTATGCTCGAAACTGTAAAATTGAAGCAATCTATATAGTCTGCATGCATTGATGGTGGTTCAGTGCTCGTCAACCACATATACGAGGTCCAAGTTCGATTCCCGGTTGACGAACTCATAAACAGTTTCAGACTTTCACTGAGTAGTGTATCATCGGCCGTTACACACATAGTATGTGTGTGTAACTGTGAGTTCAAATGTGTGAAATACTTACTTTAACAGACTGACATCAGTATAAAAATAGAGTGATGATAAAATGACTGAAACAAGGCGTGTAAATAGGATAGGGAGTGGGGGTACATCGTTTCTGTTGTGAGGTTACTCATTGACTAAGAATCATTTACATTACTTTCGACCTTCAATTATCATAATCGCTTGAAAAATGATGGCAATTCTAAGCACTAGTTTAGTTTAGCATGCGATTCCAATGGTTCCACAGGTTTCAAACATGTAACCAATCAAATCCTTGCAAACCAACCCTTGGTAATTTCAATCTATGTCAGTGGCTCGACTGTAACAGTAGAAATCAACTTTGAAAGTGTCTGATCAGAAATCTGATGTGACTTCGATTTAAAGGTTTGCATTTTCAGTAGAGATTACCTTTTTTTAACGGGGTGGAGTTACCATCCTCATACTCAAGTATCCACTTTTCCCAGCTTATTTTCGGCTAGTAAACTAGTCTGAGGTTTAGAAGTGAATCAATCGAGAAATCGAACCTGGACCCCCGGTGTAGTTGGCGAACACTGTACTCCTGAAACAATGACACACTTCAGTATAAAGCGCATCATCTTTTGAGTGTTTGTGATAATTAAAGGTCGAAAGTAATGTAAATGATTCTTAGTCAATCAGTAACTTCATAGTAGAACCAATGTGCCACACCCCCAACCTTTTTATATGCCATGTTTCAGTCATTTTATCATCGCTCTATTATTATACTGATGTCAGTGTGTTGAAGTAAGTATTCCACACATTTGAACTCACAGTTACACACACACTGTGTGTGTGTGTGTGATGGCCAATGATACACTATCCAGTTGAGCGTCTCAAACTGAAATAGAGGAGAAGGATGATTCAAACCCGTGTACTAATTAGTTGCAATTTGAATGCTTGTATGGTTATCGTAGTTAGACTCTCATCGACCATGCAAATGTTCCGGGGTTTGATTCTCCGCCGACGCACACCTGATATCTATGGTCGGCCTGTAAAATTTGGGCTACCGATATCACATGCTGAAAATTCCATACCTGTACCAAAAATACGGTGTGGAATCAAGCTGAAATAAAATAAAATAAAATAAAAAAATAAATAAAACTAAAATCAGCAGGTCGTTCTGTTCACGTCTATGCAGATGAGGCATGGCTTTTGAAAGTTGAAGATATGAAAAGTCTACCTGTCTTTGACCACATATGTTTGTGTTCCTTCTCTCCCACCCATGTTAAGGAGTATAATACACTGAGCATAGAGTATTCGGTAAGGAGGATAAGTAAATCGATGAAGTTTTTCTAGCTATATCGATCGATATGACTAGGACATGTGTTTAATATTCAGAACCATCCCCTTTCTCAACGAGCAATGTTAGCCGATATAAGATAGGATTACAAAATTATTTTTAGTGTTCAAATTGAAACGCGGTGTCATTTCATGAAGTGTTATGTACTCGTCGCCAAATTATTATTATGTACTGGTCGGGATTTTAATAGTCCTGATGCAAAAAAGACGGAAATCAGAAGACCACTAGGTTTGCGATGATACTTCTATTTTCCAAACACAAGGAGAATCAAATGTGTATCACACAATAGTGTGAGAGCAAAATATATATGAATGTCCAAACAAGTGTGTGAACAGTCAATAGACAGTCTTAACATGATTGGCTAATTATAATGGAGTATCGATCCATATATACATAGCAAAATATAGCAGACATGTCAACAAACACACATATTATATATACTATAAGGGGAATATACATTGTTAAAGGAGACAGGTTCATCAAAGTGAAATGGTCACAGACTAAGAGAGCAACAGAAAGAGAGACCACCATACATACATATATATATATATATGGATACATATCATGAAGTGGTTAACTGTTGATTCGAGTCAACCATACAGGGCAGGTGTAGACTGTGCCTCGTTGGAGACTGTTGGAGGTTGCTAAGAACTAACGGCTGGAAATTATTGGTGATATGTCTCAAAATCGTTCTCATTCACTCAGATGCATTCACTCTTTGTAATATCTTATACCCATTAAATCCTCATAGTTTTCTATTCTACTATTCTTTCTCCTGTACATATTTTCCTGATTATGGTTCTTATAAATCTCTTTACTCTCTCCCTATCTTCCTGCTCTACCTCTTTGTGTATTAGTTATAGGAAGTGTGCGATTCCGAACTGCTACACTTCTTCCATGCTGTGAAACAGTCGATAGTAATGCTGTTCTCTTTCGCCTTCTTCCCCCTTCATTTTATTTACATTCCCCCCCCGCCCCGCATTTCTCTAGTTTATAACACCACCTAGCAACAAGTTGGCAGAAGAAGCATCAAAGATAGGACTTCAGGTAAACATAGAGAAAACAGAGGTGATCAAGATTCCTGGCCAACAGCAACACCAACAGCAACCAAAACAGACAACAATCAGCCAGCATAAATGGGAGGAACCTGAAAGAAACAAACTCCTCTACTCACCTACCTGAGAAGCATCGTTTCAACTACGGAACTGACGAGGATATCAAAGCAGCGAGGATCGGGAAAGCAAGACAAGCTTTCACTACTCTCAAGTCTGTGTGGAGGTCAACAGCCCCACTCAGCATGAAAACGAATACAAGTTCCGGATTTTCAACTCCAATGTAAAGTCAGTGCCACCTACTGTACGGATGGATCAGAGACTTGACCAGCGCGTCATAAAGAGCATCTCAAACAAACTACAGACCTTCATCAACAGCTAGCTGTCTTCGCTCAATACTACTCAAGATCAGATGGCCGGACAGAAAAGATCAGCAACAGGGATGTCTGGCAATGAGCGAACCAACCCAGCAGGAACCGATTCCGAAGCAAATAGGCAGGAAGAAATGGAGATGGATTGGCCATACTCTGAGGAAACCATCAAGTGATATCACTAGACAAGGGTGACTTGGAGGAGGTCATGTGAAGAGGAGATGAAAGCGTGTGGGAAGACTTGGAGCCAGGTGAAAACTCTAGCAGAGAACCGAACGCAATGGAGACGCGCGGCTGAAGCCGTATGTTCCTCTAGGAATTAAAGGAAATAATATTAGTAATAATAAATAATAACACCACCTATCCCCGTCGCTTTTCTATTCAATATCTCCGCAGAGAAAAAGTCTCTCTGTGCACAGATATTACTTACAGATTTTCTGTCAGTAGTACATGCCACATACATATACGTAAGTAGTAATAATAATAATAATATACTCAGTTATATACATATAATATCATGCTGTGATGAATTCTATCTACTGTTAAATCTTAAGTAAATCATTAACAGTTAGAAAAATGAATTCTTTGCTGATAATAAGTGTTTGCTCTTTCATCTATATATGTATGTGTAAATATTGGAAAAAAGTATTCTGTACAATTAATTATTACATGCTGAGATGTCATAATTCTGATAGATAAAAGTATGTGTAGTATCAGTAGGCATAGGAATAGGAGTACTACTAATAGTAGTATGTGTGGAAGTTATTTATAATATGTGTTGTATATATTTAATTTAGAAAAATAATCCTTCTTGGCATGCGGTGGTACATTTACTGTGGTAGTATTGTAAATTTTTCTAAAATCACATGTCTACAATCTTTAATTTACTCCTAGCTGCACCAGTAGAACTACAAATGAGATGATTATTTCGTCATCACCATCACCATCATCATTGGTGTTAGTTCTTGAGACCAGAGTCATGTTGATAAATGGCTTTTAGAACATATCGACTAAGGCTTGTAGATGAATAATAATAATAATAAACAATTGACTGGCTAATTATCCATCCCATTCATTCTCAATAAGTCATTATCAACTTGGAGTTTTTACTCCTTTACGAATATATAAGACTTAAGTAGTTTAAGTGTGTGTGTGTGTCTGTGAGAGAGAGAGAGAGAGACAGAATGACTCTTAAAGAGTTACTCGTCCGTTTTATCAATTTTTTGTGTATGGTGGATATAAGAATAGAACTTGGGCACTACTATGTGAGTACAATGATGACCACATTTGGAGCACAATTTTACTTCTGTT